TAATTCTGATCATAAAAAAGCTGCCATATAAACAATACCATCCCGTTTAACCCCTTTAAGGGACCAATTTTGAAAAATCCTTTTGGGAATGAATATATATATTCATTCCCATAAAAGAAAAATCCCACTTTGAATTGTTCCCAATTTCACTTGCGTCTAAGTCCCCAGAATACATATCTTTGGGACGTATTTTTCTTTTTATTAACGCCATCTATTAACATGTATTTGAACCCATTTTTATTTTTTTCTGTTAGGACCCCTGCAGTGAGATCCGAACGAGCACGACTCACACATTCCGCCCAGTCCAAACAAAATTATAATTTGGGTTAACCATTTCGCTAAGGAACTCTAAAACTGGATTAAAAAATATTCTAAAGAAGGCGCTACTTGAAATGGGCAACATAGTATTTAGAATAGTGTTAAAATGTAAAATGTTAGAAAACTGTTTTATTCGAAGCCATTAGCACTTAACCTATATTAGATTGTGTGAATGCTCGTATTCTGCAGCAATGTTGCGAGAGCTACTCAGAAAATTACGGAAAATAGAAAAAAAAATGGAAAGACGCCTAATTTTTCATATACAAAGTTATTTTACGCCTGATCTCATTAATGTTAGTCTCGATGTATAATTTCTCAATTTACTCCTGTTTTATATAAGAGCACGAAAAGGTTTAAAAAATATAACCTGTGTGTGATGTTTTTCTTTCTCAAACTACAACAAACTATATAAATATAAAGCTATATAAATATAATAAACAAGATCCACTAAGTGATACAAACATTGATACAAACAAATAGGCAGACATGCAGAATTAAATTAAAAAAAATGTGATGATGATGTTCTCCTAGCCGATTCCGGCTACGGCGGCCAATCTCATTGAGACTAGCTAACTACGCAGGAGATATTATAGTGCAGCGCGTGTACGCGCAGACACAAGGGCACTTTCTATTCCTGTCACTCTCATACGGTGGGACGACTGCTCGACATGACCAGTGAGAGTGTCGGCGCAGGACCGACGGCTTTACGTGCTCTCCGAGGCACGGGGGTAAAACACCGCCAACTTCCCAACTCCGGGCTGTTACTGAAACTTATTATACAGAAAGACTCAATAACTAAACTTGGCCCGACCCGGGACTCAAACCCAGGACCTCCGAGTGTGCAGTCGTACATGCTAGCCACTACATCACCGAGGCAGTTAAAAAATGTAATCTACCCATGGTTCATTTTATAATTCCACTGATGAGGAAAAAACGCAGCAATTAAGGCCATTTGCAGAAAAAAAACTAAATTTAAATCATAATAGGTACTGAAGACAAATGTATGTGAACGCAGCCTTATTTGAAACAGTCATAGAAAGTCGCTCACAAAATAACTGTAGGAACTTGTTAAAAAGAGCTGTTACATTAAGATACCGGCGATTTTGAGCGAAATAGCATTTTGTCGCGTCTTTGTAAGTGTTTTGTTTTAAATAAGTTTTATTTTGCCATGAAACAAATATATTATAAGTGTAATTTTGCATTTTTATATATTAGCGTTTTAATAAAAAAAATATATATTATTTGATAAATTTGTAAGGATGTATGTATAAAGCGTTTAGTTATGTAACCTTGGCCGATAGGAATGTATATAAAAAGGACGTAGATTTCTTTTGTTTCCCGCGCTTTTGCTGCACAGAGATGTCGGTATCACCTTGTAGTGATTACTCATGAATTGTCTGTAATACTGTAAATTATTATAAATAATTTAAAAATTGTATAACTCATTATTTAAAAGAGCAACTGTTGAGTTTCTCGTCGGCTCTTCTCAGCAGAACTGCTTTCCGAGCCGACGGTAGTATCAACACGGACAGACATATTAGCGATTACAAAAGTATAAAGTAGATGTTGCAGAAGTACTGAATATAAGAACATATGCAAGGAATATCTCGAAATTTTGTTAGTGTCATACTACATAAATATGTTATAATACTATGTTATCTACATATCTAAATGGACCTCTGTTATTTTATCAATTTAACGTGCTATTATACATAAGAACTACGGGAACGAATCCGCGGGCTAAAGCGAGTTAATAAGTTTTAGCTTCCTGCTTATAACTTAACATCTGTTTGTAATCTCCAAACAGCTTATATATTACGCTCATACTCGTATGGTCAATTGCGCCATAAATCCTAAACAATCGTTAAACTTTCGGATAAAGGGTTCGCGCGAGTGATAGAGACTGATGACGTTTTATTGCGACAAAAGGACATGCGTCCTGTGATATATCACTATTGTTCTCATAGATATTTCCTGTGTTTTTAACTGGAATATAGTGAGAGCCACCGCGGGACCTAACTAGTTTAGTCGATTAGAAAACCGACGTATACTTCTTTTTAACTTATTTTAACTTTATATTATACTTTCAAGTAGTATAAAAGAGTTGAAATTGAATTTAATAATAAATCTATATGCTACATATAATAAAATTGTCAGTTGAATCTGTAAATTAAATATTTTTTGGAAAATCTTATTGAAATAGTCATTGTTATTGAAACAGAGGCCGAATCTATAGATTTTGAATTTTTGTCTGTCTATCTGGGAACGCATCACGAGAAAACTACTGGACAGATTTTGATGAAATTTATTGTGATGATAGCGGGTTTTTCGGGTCAACATATAGGATACTTTTTACTGCGGGAAAATATTTCATCTCTGAGAAATCTATACTAAACGTTAAAAAATTATAAATTTTAAAACGTTATTGCTCGTGTGATAAAAACTGCTGTCATTTCCATGAAACATTTTAAAAAATGTTTTTTTTTCGTGCATGTTTCAGACACATGAATAAAGCATGGGTAAAAATATTACAAATTCAGCACGCCTTTGATTTAAAGCATGGTTAGTGGAGTGAATGGCCCCTATTTTTACTCCACAAAGTACGTGAAGTCATTTGTGCTGTGCAAAATGACGGAGGTTGAGTTTATATATTGAAAATATTAAAAAATATTCTATATATGTACATAAACAATCTTCCTAAAGTATGTCAGTCTGTTAAAACATCATAAATATTGTACATATATTAAATGGTGGGCGCATATATTAGTGTTCTTCTACCTTTTGTAACGTATGTATTGTATTTTTATTGCACCTTTGGTTGTTGTAATATGTATGTTTGTCACTCCACGCTGAAACAGCTGGGCGAATTTAAATGAAATTCATTACACAGATAGAATATGACCTGGAGTAACACATAAGCTTCTGTAAGTATCTAAGGACGCACTCGAGTGAAATTAGGACAAATTCCTAGTCTATACTAATATTATAAAGAGGTAAGATTTTTTTGTTTGTTTGTTTGCTTTTCCGAAACTACTGGACCGATTTAGATAACATTTGGTAAGAAGATAGTTTGAGGAAATAGCATAGTTCTTATCCCGGAAATTATCCCTCACGGGGGTGAAAATTGGGATGAAATTTGTATGGGGAACCAACCTAGGGACGAACCCGAGCGAAGCGAAGGTAAGTCGCTAGTATGTTATAAGCAAAATAACGTTGTTTGTGAGAGGAAAAATTGTATGGGCTGGTTTTAATAAAAGGATATTAAGCGCGCAACGCCACGCCGTGCATAATACATGCGGCTCAGCCGTCACTACAGCCAACTCTTACCCAGCGTGGATTATAGAAATTGAACAGTTTATTTATTATTTATAGGAAAATGCTATAAATATTTAAAATATATTGGAGGCCCAATTCCCAAAACGAATCTGAATTTGTACACGTTTGGTTTATTAGCTATTGACAACTTAAGTAGTGTGTTCGGTTTCTGTTCAACAATTAAAACAATATAAATACAGGTAACAGATGATATATACGAATACAGGTGTAGATATAAACAGAGAAATCGTTTTGCCATCGCTGTGGTAAACAAAACTAATATCATAGTATTTTTTAACTATTACATAGTACAAAAATATTATATCATCATAGATTTTTATTTTGTAAACGAAATTTATAAACATTTAGCACCTCTACAAGAAAATGAAAATAAATTTAAAATCATTTCATAATAAGTACGTAGACACTAATAAAATCGTATTAAAAGGTCATGGGTTCGGTTTTGTTAAAACAAACAATCGGATTGAGGGTGGTAACCCAACACACATTATGTTGATATTTAAAATCATGTTCTATGTTTTCTTTAACCCAACAGAGAACTAGCACAATTTATAAGGAAAGAAACTACTAACTACGTTTTACAGCATTACTATATCCTTAACAATCAACAACGGACGAAGGACATTCATATTAGAGTAACTGTCTCGATGGTCTAGAGATTGCTGCAGATCCGAAGTTTCTGGATTCGATTCTTGTTAGGTCAAGTACAGTTATTAGGTTTTTCTACGTTTGCGGTAACCCGTGACCCGTATAACATAAAGCCGTCGTCTTTGACCAGATATCTCACTTTCGAATTGTAGTTAAACTTTTTGAACAGATTTTTAGAGTGAATATAGATATGTTACATTATAATTTATATAAAGGTAATCCAAAATTGGACAAGTATAAGTCTGACTCATCGCACATGATATGACACATCGAGGTTTCCGTATCGTGAAACACTAAAATAAGTATATATAATCGCAAAAAAAATATTATGTAACTACAAATTTACGGTTACCGGTTTTTTCCTTTACTTGTACATTGCTGTTTGATTCCCTTGGTGTCATAATATGCGATATATACATTACTCTTTTCCTTTCGAATGGTTCCTTTTTTCTTTTTGAGGTACGGAACCCTAAAAACTTAACCCAGCAATGCCTAGTGTGTCCGTATGGACACGTAATTAGTGGTAAAAAAGTTAACACTTTATGGCAATTTTATCTATGTTAAAAAAATAAACGTTAATGTCATTCGACTCTCTAAAGTGTCACCTGTCATTGTATGTCAGTCGTGGCGCGAAACTTTGAGGTTGTCTTGCAAAAATTTACGTTTATTTTTTCCCCAAGTTGTGAATTTGCAAAACAATGAATCCGAGAAGAAAGTAAGTATATTTGTCCCGTATTTATACTATATGTAATGATTTTTTGGATTGTAAACTATTTAGTGACTATTGAACTATGTTTGTTTAGAATGAAACAAAAGATGAAACTTTCTTATGGTTACGTTTTATCGTTCTCAACTTGATGTGTCCATATAGACACGCTAAGTACTTGTCACAGCTTTATACTTATACCTAATCTATTTTTTCAGCATCTTTGATATTGACCAGTTAGGAAGCAGCTGCACGCTAAATGAAGTACTGGATATTTTACTGGATGATCAAGAAGGTGATGAAAATCATTCTTCACCCGAAGCCATTTTCATATCCCCTCCAGATGCATCTGTTTTGACGGATGAGGACTCGGGAGACGAGAATTGTGTTGGGACCGTTGAAAATTTATCATCTAGGCAATTACTTTCTGAAGCAGAAGTACATTTTTGAAATCGAACCACTGATGATGATAGATATTTTGGCAATCTTTGTGGCAGAATAAGCAAGAACATGGATTCGTGGGGAGCTGGAGCCATTTTTACCGCCGTGCCCAAATACTACAAATAATAATTTAGAAGGTAAATCTGCTGTTCATATTTTAGCGCCAGCCGATGCAAATCAAATCATTAGATATTTGGATACGTAAAATACATATTTACCTATTAGATATTCATATCTTAAAATAATATAATAACATATTCGATTAAATAACTTATTTAAAAAAAAAAACAATGTTGATTTTTTAAAAAACCTCTCGAACGATTTCATTATAATTTATATAGGACCACCCTTTAAACCAAAAAAAAAACCAAATCGGTTCAGGTGTCTTCGAGTAATCGGTGAACATACATAAAAAAAGAGTTTTCGACGAATTGAGAACCTCCTCCTTTTTGGAATTGGAAGTCAGTTAAAAATCATCAGTCGATGTCTTATAATTGTACAACATATAAATTGTACAACATTTACTGTTTTTATTTTCATCTTTCATAAAACTTGCGTTTAACCGCGGCTCCACTCGCGTCGCTTATTTATGTATACATACAAACTTTCAACTTTCATTTTACCCCTTTAAAGATTGAATTTCCAAAACTCATTTCTTTGCGGATACCTGCTTCCAATTAAGAATCTTGGTCGGCCAAATTACAAGTTTATGGTATTTTAAAGATTTTTTGATTAATGAGTCAGTGAGTGGTATTTCGCTTTTATTTAAACCTATGTACCAATATGTAGTCAAAAATATGGCTGGAATATTGTCACTTTTGTATAGGTCTATACTAATACTTAATATTATAAATATGAAAGTGTGTTTGTTTTCTGTCCTTCTTTTATGTTGAAACTAAGTGACTGATTGGCGTGATTTTTTTTTGTGTAGACATAGTTGGAGGGATGGAGAGTGACATAGACTACTTTTTACCGCGGGAGATTATCTCATTCCCACGGGAATACACATTTTAATACAACCCACAACAACTCATCATACCAATGTATATATTATATAATACGTAGTCTATTATTTCATACTAACCGTTAAAAAGTACCTAGATACGAACTTTGTATGACAATTAGAAAAGTATATAATGTGAAACTTCGACCACTTGTACTATATTTTTATAAAGATTATCAGAATCCAAAGCACGTCGCAACTCTGACGGAAACAGGTTGTAAGAAAGTGAAAACAAGCAAAATTGTGTTTTCTCGAAGCGGAGAGGTTTTGACCTATAGTCGCGATTCCGAGCACGCGCTCGAAAATAATAATTATTGTCGATGAATCGTAACTCTGCAAACCTCGCCAAAGCTGTTGTTCTGGAAAATTTTAAATAAAACACTGATACATTTTTTTCTTTATTGTGCTATATTTCTTTAAGTCTAATAAAATGTTAATAATTGAAATGTGGTTTGAAAAGCTACAGATTTTTTTCTACATATCAAGTCTAGTGATTTTTTTACTTGTTATTGTGTAATGGAACTTGAACAAGTGATATATGCTGTTTTTGTGCTGACTTATTGTTACAGTTACATTTGCCACATATATATAATCCTATTTACATATATGACAAATGTAACTCTCGACAGTCGACTTAATTAAGTACGTTTTTATTTTATTACAAATACATTGAACGTATTGAGTGTCGATAAATTCGTCATTAACGCTCGTGAAAGTTTAAAGTAATGGAACAGTAATCTCTTTGAATCAAATGTTAGTCAATTATACAAATGATATAGAAGCAAATGAAGCGGACAAAGCTCGCGCTCCGCGAATAGCGTTAAATGAGTTCTATTTAAAGCCTTTATGTATTGTTTTGTTTCATTGTTTAATATATTATGTATTATGTACGAACACATCCAATGTTCATTTTGTTCTATTTCATTTACGTCAATTTAACATTTTGCTATTATAAAGAGGTACAGTTTGTGAGTTTGTAACGTTGTAGGGGGTAATCTCTGGATCTACTGAATGGATTTAGATGAAATTTAGTAAGATAGTTTGAGACCCTGGGAAGGACAGAAGATACTTTTTATCCCGGAAATCATTCCTTAAGAGGGTGAAAATGTGGATGAAAGTTTGTATTGGGAAGCAAGGACACGAACCCGAGCGAAGTGAGAGTGAGTCGCTAGTTATTTATAATTTTACATTATTTATAATTTATTATTTACAATTTTATAATATTAATAACGATATCGGTTAATTGTATTTGTAATATTAATGTTTTAAAAGTATTGTCATCCACTGTTCGGTAATGTTATACGTAGTAGACAGATGACGCTACGTTACACCCAACGGTGGGGAAATATGTTTGAATAGTTCTATTGCCATTTTTGAGTTGTTGTTTAATTTGCCTTAATAACTCGCAAGTTTTACTATAATTTTGGGCGCCAAGGTAAGCAAGTAAAAAATAAAATTGTCCAAACCTATCAATAATGGGAGTGAAATCAATTGTCAAGTATTGCACTAACGAATTTACTCCATTTTACAAGCGTGATTTTCATATTTTTTTCTAATAAGATATTTTTGTTTTACAGTGACAACATTAGAAAAAATATTGTTGACAATATATTTTTTTCTTCTAATAATATTATTGATGTACAGTAGTTAACTTTTTTATAAGCTCTCCTTCGCAGGCTCGCTGTCAGTGCTATATCTCGTTAAGAGAAACCTCCCGGCTATGAATACTCAATGAGACTCAGAGGTTTTATTATTTATAAGAAGTTTGTTTTGGTAAGATAATATTACTGGGAAAGTAACTTTTTATCCATGATATGTTCCAGATTTGCTACTAACTACTGCTTGTGGCATCGCCCGCCTATTTTTAATTAATAATTTTTGTTACTTAAACTTGAAGACTTTATATTTTTATTATTATATATTAGTTCGTTATAAGGCAGCATGTATGTATGTATATATATAATATGTATGTATATATATATATATATATTAAATACAATTAACATTTTACGATACAGGTAGATATACCAACAAATATACTAAAATGTTAATGGTAATAATATATAATAGCAGAAGACAAAGTTACGTAACTCGTTCAATTAAGGTTCAATTTCAGGACTACCCATAAAACTAAGCGAGCGAAGTTATAAACGACGACCTGCTTTGACCCCCTAATGTAATTTTCAAATAAACACTATTTTGTAAAAGAACATTACACTATGGTCCATAGTCCATGTATTTTTCAAGTTAAATTTTAAAGAAAGTTAGATGAAAAGTAAAGATGGAAACTTCAAACTGTCTTAAAATCCTACAAGGTCTAAGTATGCCACTTATTAGATTAAAAGATCAAAAAATTAAAGGCCAGAATTTGCTTACCATTATTTATAAAAAAGCCAAATAATTTGATCTTTATACATTTAGTGACTGACCTACCCGCTCTTCACTCGGTTTGTGCTATTTCCCTTTTAGGTATCATAGCAAGCTATCAGTGCCATCTTTTGGCAATTTTTACTACTTACTGGAGCTACTAGGTAGTATACTACATTTCATCCGTATCCAGCTATTTCAGCATTAAAGATATAAATTATTATAAAGTTTCATTAAAATTTAATCAATAGTTTTTGTGTAAGTAACTATAGTTTTTTAACTATTCCACGGGACCCCTTTAATTTTCCGGGATGAAAAGTATCTAAAATGTTAACCGGTAATATAAGGTACCACGATGCGTGCATTAAAATTTCATTTAAATCGGTTTAACAGATTCAGAGATTAGCCCGTACAAAGAGATAAACAGAGAAACAAAAAAAAATTTAAAAAAATGTATTGGTTCTATATGGCTTGTTAAATATTTTCACTTTTTGGACGAGACTTCCATACATCCGTACATACAAAGCACATACGCAATTAACAAACCAATATCTAGTATTCGTAAAACTTTTACTACTGCGGAAAAGGAACCCGCGACCTTCGACACAGTTACCAGTGACGAAATCAACATAAGCGGTAAACCAATTTCATGTATTACCTGATAACATGTGTAATCGTAATAAAACAGATATATGGACGGACATAAAAGCAAGGTTAGATGTTCCAAACTGATTCAATGTCTAAACGAGGTATCACAGACGTGAGTCGCAAACTTTATCATATAAAATAATGCCGCGGGCCTTCCCCTTCTTCTCTTTGAATCTCGCTACCTCATTGATTATCACTTAGCGCTTCTAAAATAGAAATCTGTTTTTTCATTTTTGTTAAAGTATTTTTAGACTACTTTTGAAGTTAATCTGGTAAATGAAAAGCACTTTCACGATCTTTTTATAAGAATTTTTACAGAAAATTTTAAATTGTGATTTTATCCGCTTTTACTTTTAAAAGAAAAAAAATAATCCGTAGATAAAACATTGTAATTTAGTGGAACAGTTCTGAGATCACAGGATTCCTGAAATAAAATGTTGGGTTATCATACAACCACAATTTTTTTTTTTTAAATTGTTAAAAAATGTGGAATATCAGTATATTTTTAATGGAAATTTCTAATATTTCTCTCAAAACTTTTACTAGAAAAAAAGATGCAGTCCACATTTCAGAATGTGAAATGAAATCGTAGCTGTTATTGTATAGAAGAAAACCATTTTTATATTAATTCAAAAAGTCGTAGCAGCTGCACCACTCGAGCCGTGGCCGAAGCCGAGTGGTTAAAATAATAAAAATATTTTTACGAAAAATACCAACGTTTACCTGTACGTTAAACATTTTAATTAAATTTTTGTTATTTTGACCATTGCTACTAAAACAAATATTGTAATATTTCGCTTAATTGAACTCTACTTTTACAATTTATTTAATTTTCTTCAAATAGAATTTATTTAATCGCCCATCACAAAACTTAGAAAATATTATTCTTTACAATATAAATGCACACGATATCTCGAATACTTCATGATCTATGAAGCTCGTTCAGTTATAAGTAGAAGACGTTAGTTAATCATTTTTTTGATTATGT